CTTTCCCTGCTATATAATACAGATTACATAAAGGCTGACAAATCCACATTAGTATAAGCATTAAGCATTTGCTGTATTGAAAGATTAGTTCTAATACTAGCAGTACTGAGTTACAGAGCATAATTTTTAATATTTAGTTGCAGATATATTAAGTATGGTAGGTTCCATGGACTAAAGGAAAATGGACATTTTTGTCTTCAAATTTTCTATTGACAACCTCGTCTGAACAATTCTGCTAAGCACTGATGTTAGAAAGAAAAGTAAAAATCAAACTTTATTGTTGCTTTTTGCCATTTGGTAGCATTTTACACACAGGCTTCGATCTTCAGAATACCCTGGATTCAGTAGAAAAACCCTTTAAATGAAGTTTTGTACAATAAAAACTTCTCAGCAGTCAAAATTTAGACTGTAAAAAAATACATGCAAAACATACTTTTCTGAAAACACTTAACTTGGAACAAAGCACCAAACTACACAAATGCGAATGAGAACAGCATTTCAACTCCACCAAAAGTAGTCATCATAAAAGGTGTAAAAGTCACCTAACTTCACTAGGCACTGTTCACTTTTTAAACAGGAGACAATAAAAAATATTGTCCACAAACAATATCCAAACTCTAAGATAGGTTTCAGAAATCCTTCCACTTCATGCTTTAATAGCGACCTGGAATTGAAGAGAGAAAAAAGGGGGCATTAATTCTGAGAACTGATTAGCAAGTATATTTTACTGAGAATTTTAGAATGATCTGTCATTCAGACGTTCCTATATACCAGATTCTCTTCTGTGAAAATAGAGGAAGACTTTCACACAAGAGTCACTCTAGAAATGAATCAATGTGAAACAATAGAAATAACTGGGAAGTAATTATCAACCTGAGCTAAATAAGGTTAAATCACAAAGATGTTCCCAAGATGTGCAAAAATTACAAGCACTAGTGCTACAAATGGTGAGACTACCTACAGACACACACACATACACTTTATTTAAATAAATATATTTCTTATTGATTTCAGAGAGGAAGGGAAAGGGAGAAATAGACACATCAATGATGAGTGAATCATTGATTTGGCTGTCTCTTGCACTGGGGATTGAGACTGCAACCCATGCATGTGCCCTTGACCGGAATTGAGCCCCGGATCCTTCAGCCCACAGGCCAATGCTCTATCCACTGAGGCAAACCAGCTAGGGCTATATTTACTATTTTAATTAGAAACTAGGTTTCAAGGGTTCTTTTCATACCATCTGGAACCCTAAACATAAAATTTGCGGGATTATCTATACTAATAAAAGGATAATATGCTAATTAGACCAGACATCTTCTGGACAAAGCCCTGGTGGCAGGAGCCGAGGAAGAGGTGGTTAGGGGCGATCAGGCTGGCAGGCAAGTGGTTAGGAGCCAGTGGTCCTGGATTGCGAGAGAGATGTCTGACTGCAGGCTTAGGCCTCATCTCTCCTGGAGTGGAGAGGTTACAGGCCAGGCTGAGGGATCCCCCCAACCCCATGCACAAATTTCACGCACTGGGCCTCTAGTCTATAATAATAAAAGTGTAATGTGCTAATTAGACTGGATGTCCCTCCAGACGAAGCCAGGGCTGTGAGGGAAGCCTGGGTCCCGGGTGCCAGAGGGAAGGAAGGCCTACTCTTGCACAAATTTTGTGCATTGGGCCTCTGGTACATAAAACTACTTGAATGAACTTTCTGCAGAAGAAAGTTACTCTGCTGTGGTTTGGCAAATTACGTAGGGCAAGCCATATTATCACAATATATAAACTAAATAATATATCAAGACAAAAACTTACGAGGTGAGTATGATCGAGATCTGGAACGTGATCTATATCCTCCACGACTATAGTAAGGAGAAGGTGACCGCCTTCTGTAAACAAATGTCAAGACCATTTAAGATCCCAGAGATCACAATTAGATGACATATAATTATGCACAGTCCCTTTATCAGTTTCTAAAACTAGAAGGCTGCCATCAACCCTCAAAAACTTTGTATTAGTCATGGAATTTCAAGGTCTGATCACTCAATACTACCAGAAGTCAAATACGCCTTGCTGTTTCATCCATTGATAATGTACTAACCCATTTTAAATTCTACTAAATATGAGAAAATAAGTCTTTTCCACTAATCCCAAGCACGCCCTCAAAATAAATTTCACTAGTGCATCAAAGTGATTTCAATTTGTTAAGACTGACTTAAGTGTTTAACAGCCAACAAAGAAAATGTAGCAAAAGAGAATAGCTATCAGGAATAGATACTAAAAATATTATAGGTCCTAATCAATGACCTTATACCCATCATTATCTTATTCAAGTACAAAAATGATACCAAGTAAAAGCTTAACCAATTTCTGCAAATGCACAAAGCCATGGTGGCCACATCACTTGGGGTCAATTACAACATTTAATGAACTTCAATGCAATCTAATCTTGTGCAATGCCACATAGTTTAATTACCGAAAGACTAGTAATGGAGCCTTCATGTGAGCCATTTCTACTATTGTAAGATTTATAACCCTCTCTGGCATACCTGTAAATCTGATCCCTGTCTTGAGCAGCTCTCCATCCTCCTCCACCTCCACCACCTCCTCTGTAAAGGCAAAAATTCATTAATTTTTATGAGTTTTTGAAAGAATTTTCAATTCATAAAGTAAAACAAACATGAGATATGAAAGCTGGATTCTTTTAAGTAAAATGATAAAGAGCTACCTTTGCCATTCCTTTAATAAAATGGCATAGAGCTCTCTCTGGTGGCTAAAACAAGTATCATTAGAACAAAGAATATCTCTAAATGCTCAAATTAATTAAAATAAAGATCGAATCGACCACTTTAATATCCCCAGCTTCCATAAGCAATCCCTCAAGTGCTATTTAATGCAAAAATACTCTAAATAAAATGTTGTCCAAAATAAGATGCTGGACAATATGAGAAGCACCCTATGGCCTCACTTCCATAGATATTAAGACACCAACAATTGTCAATTTCATAAAACATTATCAAATAGGTTTTTTTTTAAGAAGGTATCTACACCCCAACATCACACCAAGATAAGGTATCATGGATTACTACTCTGTCAATACTTATTACACAATTTACATTCTGACAAGGCAGGGTCTCAATTATTGCTGCTGCTAAAATAAAGGAAACTTGTACTTTGTTTTAATCTTTTCTCAAAAAGATCTTTTGTTTTTCAAGTATGACAGGCATAACCCTACCAACCCCATAAAAATTTGAAGTTCGGTAATGAACAAATTGTTACTATTTTTCTTATATAAATACTTTTACGGACTCTCCCAAGAATCAGCTTTACCTGCCTTTTAGTGCATGAAACATTAGCTATACAATCCCCCCCCCAACTCTGCTTTATAAAGCATTAACTTTCAAAGCAGTTTATTTTGCTTTAAAAACAGTACTAAAAAATGGGAGGAAAAACTGAAGTATGGTCTGTAATTTTTTCCGCCATGCTCAAAGTATACAGATAAATTTAAAAATAGACAAAACCTAAAAATCTGGTTTAAAAACTAGCTCTGGTTATCTTGGTATAAAAAGTAATGCTTTTATTAAAGGTGCTGCAACTGAGGTGCACTCTCCCTTCTAGGACACCTGCACCCACCTTTCCGTTTTCCCTCTTTCTCCCCAGGCATGTTACCTCTGCTTTTCTCTCTCATAAGCCTCAAGGACTACTACCTCTGTAACTTTTTACATAAACTTTATCTTATAATTAGGAGGGGTGAAAAAAGTTGCAACTGAGATTCAGAAAAGTTGTTGCTTCAAGTCTTTGGCAACTTAAAACTCACATTTTATTATGGTTAACTTACCTGTATGATCTGCTATAGTAGTCCCGATCATCATAGCCTCGATCGTATCCTCTGTCATAGTAATCACGACGGCGTGAGCTGCCACTGTGAATAGTATTAAATCTTTATAAAATATCAAGTAGCCTTCCCTATTTTTCTAGACATGACTTTTTGCTGTTAAAAAACTGTTTAGAGATTTATTAACAGCAGCAGAGGAATGTCATGCTCATTTGGTTCTTAAGGTTAACACAACCTACACAGCCAAACTCTATAGGACATGACTGGGAAATTGCTTCAAGTATAATCTCTTTATCCTCTTCTGGCCAAAAATTCATAGGCTTAATTAACTGGGAAATGAGTATTACTCTCATGTGAATTCTCACTGATAGTGGATAAACAATGCCCCCCCTGGCACATGCCCTTGACCTGAATCGAACCTGGGACCCTTCAGCCCACAAGCACAGGCTAATGCTCTGTCCACTGAGCAAAACCGGCAAAGGCGTACATGTGGCTTCTTACCAAGAGTTTAAAAATTTATAATAGCCCTAGCTGGTTTGGCTCGGTGGATAGAGCGTCCGTCAGCCTGCAGACTGAAGGGTCCCAGGTTCAATTCTGGTCAAGGGCACATATCTGGGTTGTGGGCTTGATATGCAGTAGGGGGTGCCCAGGAGGCAGCCCATCAATGATTTGCTCTCATTGTTGATGTTTTTATCTCTCCCTCCCCCTTCCCCTGAAATTAAAAATAGGGAGCATGAGTTTGAGAGTGTGTGTGCGGGGGGGGGTTGGGGGTTAATGGGGGGGGGGTAAGGACACATTTGTACTACCTTAACTAATAATTAAAAAAAAAATGGAAAAAATAAAATAAAAAATAAAATACATAGACTTAGTATATGAAAAAAAAGAAAAAAAAAGGTGTTCTTTAAAAATGGGGAAGCACACATACTCTACTAACATGCTTTCAACTTCAGCCAATTTGCCAATTTCACTCAAAAAAAAAAAAAAATCATATGGAGAATGCAGTTTTGAGACTGGGAGTTCAGCCTATTAGAAAATGGCAATTATGGTGCAATTCTCTGCCTTATATAAGATCTTTATACTTAAGTTTTTAAAAATGACTCCAAATTAGAACTTTCTGCATGAGAACTATCTTATTATTAGTTCAGTCCATGTTTTCCACTCTGCTTAAGGAAACAAAAACTAAAGAATGCACTCGAGTATGATTTACACAAACTTAATTTTAACTATAATGGTTAAGTTTCTATTCTGGGGGAAATTACCCAAATCAGAAACATTTAATTACCCAAGCAAAGCTGAATATATGGCATTTCTTTATGATACAGTGGGATGGGATCTGTGTAATGGTGTCAATCAGAATTTGTGCCACAATCAGAATGTTTCCACAGAATATGTATTACCAAACAGTTAAGAAAAAAAGGAAAATTATTTATACCATGGCAAGACTAGATGAAATGCCAAAGATTTCCCCATAGCACATAGAAGTGAACAAATTAAATCAATAAAATTTCTATCTTGAAAATAAACTTACTAGGTAGGTCTCCCCATATAAATTCCTGGTGTTGGGGTATGTGGTCTTTTGGTTATGGAGAAATCAACTCTGATTCTACGTCCATCAAGCTCCATTCCATTGGCACGCTCTTTTGCCTAATAAATAAATACAAACATACATACATAAATACACACACAGTTGTTATATACATCCTGGACAGTCACAAACTATCCAGTAGTTAAAAAATATCTGACTGGATGTTTCAGTTAGATCCATTAATTTATTTCAATGTTGATAGAACATCATGGCCCACAACTTTATGTTGTTTCTCCTATTAAATTTTTAAAAGGTAGTCATAAAACTCAGGAGAAAAGTTTATCAAAAAAGCTACAAAGGTCAATTTAAATCAGGTAATTGAAGTAATTGTTATTTTTAACAACTTACAGTACTTCTAGCTCTAAAGCAATACATATCCGGCAAACCATTAGGTATGATTTGAAATGGCTGGGAATAAGATTTCATAAGTGTTTATGAAATTCAAATTTCAATGGCCACAAATGTGACGTCCCAGCCATGAATTTACAGGTTGTCTATTGCTGCTTTTGCATTACAATGACAGCATTGAAAAGTTGTGAATGATAGTCCCCTAATGGCTCACAAGGCCTTAAATATTTAGTAATTTTTAACAAAAGTTGATGGATCCCTGCTATGGAAGCAAAAAGCTGGAATGAAGACAGCTACATAAAGCTCCTTCATCTAGAATATACAGCAATGAAACGTCAAAGCAAAAATAAAATAAAAAACCTTATTCCAAAGACTTAGCTGCTGTTTGTCCACCATTTAAAGAACACCCTTTCCATAAGTAGATTTTAACGTCCAATTATGCTTTTTTTGTTTGAAAGTTTAAGCCCTCAGAAGATAGTTTCTGGCACTACTGATTCAGATACAAAATATTAGTATGCTATTCTTCAGAAAGCTGTGTACTGTAGCAGAAAATTAGGGAAATAAGGCCTATGCTACTAGTAACCATGGGAAAAACCCTATTTATATGTTTGGAAATCCCTTAAATATCTTAAATTGTAGTCTATCCTAATTACTTGCATTTAGCTTTCCATTCTTCCTTTAGCAGTTCAGGTTACTCTTATGGTTTTCAAAAATAAGTACCGTTTTCATAAATAACCATGTAATTTTACCTGTAACTGAATTCCCAATCTCAATATTGACCTAAGATGGTTTATCACTGTTTCCCAAGCTTTTCTCTTCTTTATACCATCCCTTGGAGATGATTCCAGCTATTATCCATACACAAATAAAGTCCAAATTCTTAAAATATGGCCCATATTCACGCTGTCAATGTTCACTTTTAGTCAACATACTAATTTTTTTTACTTCCAACATTTTGCCTGAAGTCAATTAACATTTAAATATGAACCAGATCCTTTTTGAGTCATAATTATCAGTTTTAAATATTCTTCATTGTAGAAAATGGCTCAATGCAACCACTGATGAGATAGTCTAAAGAGTATTAACCTTCAATAACTGTACCTAGTGTGTATATCATATCTGGAACCAGCCATGTATGAAGTGCTGCCCTCAGGTTTTACTTCAAAATAATGTGGTGGTGATGTTGGGTGACTGAGTTAGAGGTATAGCAGGCCAGAAGTTAAGTATACTGAAGTGGGGCATAATATAACCAGTTGCCCTAAGTCACACTTTATTATTCTGTATATATTTGAATTTTTCCATAATAAAAGGTTGAAAAAGTTCTTAAGTATTACTGGTTTCAATCTTTTCCCAGAAGATTGCATTTCCTGTAACTCAAGCTACATTTACACATCCTATTTACAATATTGAAACTAAAGTTGTCCTTCCTAAAATACTTAGAAGTTTACAATAGGGCTGCTAGTTTACAAGGTACAGGCAGGCTTTTACTTACTTCCTTGGCATCATCTACATTTTCAAAATATACAAAGGCAAATCCTCTTGAACGTCTAGATTGCTGGTCATATACGATAGACACATCAGCAATGGGGCCATATTTAGAGAATACTTCTCTGAGATCTCTTTCTGTAGTGTACAGGCTCAATCCAAATACTCCAAGACAACAGTTGGGATCAGGATTTGCCTAAAAATAGAAAAGTAGATTTTAAAACTTCGCCATAAATCAAATAAAGGAAACAGCATAAACAAATTAGCCAAAAGTGTCACTACGAATAAAAGTAAACAGATTAAATAAACACTTTAAAAATGCATGTGTTACAGCAAGTGCTGCAAGCATGTTTAAGAATGGGCAGAAAGGCCCTGGCCGGTTTGGCTCAGTAGTTAGAGCATCGACCCACAGACCGGTTAAGATTCCGATCAAGGGCACGTACCTCCGTTGCAGGCTTGATCACCGGCACCGGTCGGGGCGTGTGCGGGAGGCAACCAGTGGATGTGTCTCTCTCACATCGATGTTTCTCTCCCTCTGTCTCTCCCCCTCCCTTCCACCCTCTCTATAAAACAAACAAAGAAACAAAAATCAATGGAAAAGATATCCCAGGTGATTAACTAAAACAAACAGAAAGAATTACAACAGGAGCAATTTTAATCTTAGAATTAAGTCTAGAGGGGGATAAGGGGCACATACTATTAAAAAACAAACTAAATCTTTGGGGGGAGATTAGAGGGCAATTTTGAGTGATTCACTTTCTAGGAATTTATTTTAAGAAATGCTCATGTAGCCTGGCTTGTGTGGCTCAGTGGTTGAGTGTTGGCCCAGGAACCAAGAGGTCACCAGTCAGGGCACATGCCTGGGTTACAGGCTCGTTCCCCAGTAGAGGGTGAGCAGGAGGCAGCCAATCGATACCCCTCTCATCCATGTTTCTATCTCTATCCCTCTCCCTTCCTCTCTAAAAATAAAAACAAAAAGTTCACACAATCAGAATAGCATTGTCTCTACAAGCCAGAGAAATACATGATAAACTAAAAATGCTGAGTTAAAATATAGGGAATGCTAGGCTTGATCCTATTTTTAGAAACAAACTATTCACATACACACACAAATGAAGTCAAAGATGTGCACTCAATTGTTAACAGATATTAAACAGCTTGCTTGCAATCATTATAATGAATTTACCCCGTTTTCATTTATTTACTCCAAATTCCACTCCACTCTCAAAAACAAACACACACACTACAAAACCATTTGGATTATACAATGAAATCACAATATAAATACACTAAATGCCATCTCATTTGGAACCTCTCATGGAAGATAAGAAAAAGTCTTACTACCCAAAAGAAACTTGCTTACAATTAAATGGGAAAGCATTATGTAATAGGTATTAATAACCAACACAGAAAACTTAAGTAACGTAAGTATGGAACAGATACATAGATGCTATATGATCTAATGTACTAATATTATAACAGTAATGCACATGGAGTTTTATTTGATGGGCTGAATTATAAATGTGACAATGTGCTTAACTTAAATATGGATGCTAGCCCAAATGTGCACTATACATGGGAGACACCTTTTTATTTATTTACCTTTTTAAAAGGCGGCAGCGGAGGGGGAGGGGAACAGATTTGTTGATCCACTTCATTTATACATTCATTAGGTGATTCTTATTATGTGTCCTGATTGGGGACTGAACCCACTACCTTGGCATATCAGGAAGACACTCAAACCAACTAATTACCTGGCCAGGCTGGGAGATATCTTTTAAAAAAAGGTTATTCCAAAACACTAGAAAGCCTCAAAAAGTCTCACTCTCTGCTAATGCTCCATTGTCAAAATCATTTCTAACTTCAAAAAGAGATAGGACTATTAAATTAAGTGGTTTTAGACAGTCTATTGCTTCAAAAACACAGAATATTTTTCATCATACCCGATTCCCGACATGACGTCTGCGAGTAGACATGGGAGAATGACTGTGGCTATGACGCCTCCGATAGTCTCGACTGTAAGACCTGCTCCGGGATCGTCTATGGGAGCGAGACCGAGATCGTGATCTTGTATAATGCCTTCGAGAACTTCTTCTGGATCTAGACCTGCAAAACAAAGGCTCCAAAGGTCATGACTAAATAGCTGACAAAATATGGCTTTCAATTTTTTTTAATACTCTAGAGTTAAACTCCAGAAGACAGAACACAATCCAGGCACATATGATACCAAATGGGTGGAATTGATACCCTTTTTTTGTATTAATAGTCACCTCAACTGTTAGAGTTCCAAAATCATTAACTCTCTTCCAACCTTTCTTATTAAAAAAATAAAGTGAACACATTCAATTATCTTTTGAAAATCTGGAAACATGCATCCATACTAGCTTAATTTGTCTCCCTCTCAGAATACCATCCTATTTTTCTGCTTCTCCCATTATGCCCACCATTCACTTAAGGTAAAATCACCACCATAGTAGCTCCCTCTGCTGTGTTTTAAAAGCAACCAGTTGCTCTTAACTAGATAGAGTGATGATATGAATCGTCATCTAAATCAGGATGGACACATAAGAGAGAAAAGGTACGGTTAATGATGCTTCATAACAGGCATATAATGGGGCTGTCCTGGGTAAACCAGGATGTATGGCATACTTTTGACCAACATTAAAAAAAAAAAGTACACGTTATTACTTTTGCTTTATACATACATTCAATACTAGCCTACACCTATTAATAAAAAATTGCAGTTACTGAAAGCCAATGTTCTGCAGTATATTTGCAATAAGTACGTTACTTATACTCAATTCTGAAGAACTGGTACTATTACTAACTTGCCTTTACATAAGGAAGCTAAGGTGGAAAAAGGTTAAATAATCCGCCCAAACCAGAAAAAAACAGGTAAGGTTTGAGGCCTAACTCAAAAGCCCAGGCCTTTAACGATTAAATAGTCTTTGGTCTTCTAGAACTTATGATTAACTTAATTTCTACTAAGGATTATACAGGCGAACAAATAACCGAATCCTCTCTATCTTCCTAGTTTACAAAGTTCACACCAATTTCAAAGCTAAGAGCAACAGTCTTTCTTACCTAGATTCAGATCTGGACCTGGACTTTGATCTGGAACGCCTGGAATCTTCCTCGGCGCGAGACCTTGCAGGGGTATGCCTTGCAGATTTCCCAGATCCATGAGCACTTCCACTTCTGGAAGCAGAACGGGATTCCTACACGTAGATGTCAAAAGTTTAATTTGTATACTTTCTGGGCAACTTTAAAAACAAATAAGCTGCTGTGAAATAAATGGTGAGGGAAAGCAATCCCCTTCCAAGGTAAGAAAATATAAGGGCAGGAACTGAATATACCCAGTACAACAGTTGCATTGCTCCAATTGACATAAGTCAATTAACTTGAACTTCCACCTTTTTGGAGCACGAATAAGTTAACTGATCCACTTTCTTCAGAAAGGGGTGTCAAAGCCAAGCAGCTGAGGGATTGTCCAAGGATTGTGTTTAGGGAATGTTACTCCATAAAGATTAGGGTGAAAAACAACCTTATTAAAAATAACTATGACTTCTATCCATTATACCTATTTCAATCAAGTTACCATCAATAAAAACAAAACCCTATGAAATTCATAAAACTTACTTTTAAAATGCTTTTGATTTTTTATTAAGACCTCAACTTTTCAAATTGTTATTCAGTGGGAAAAGAGACAAGAACAACCTTTTTCAAATCCTAGAGAAATGTAGAAGCCTAGTGGAAAGCAAGGACCAGCTTGAAGGACACCAGACAGTTAAGACCCTGTTCCATCTAATCATGGTGGGAGGCCTTGTAAGACCCAGAAACAAACCAGATGGAGCTACAGCAGAAAGGTAGTCAATTGCACAAAGGTAAGAAAATAGAAAGGGTGCCAGAGAACTACAGCTTCCCCAGTTAAATGGAGATGAGCCAGGGCAAATGGGAAGTTAGAAAAGCTAACGTACCTATTAAAACCAGAATATTAAATTAGGAGCTTCTAACCTAGGCTTAGAAAGGGAATCCAGGAATTATATGTAAAACTGAAGCCTAGGTATATACTATATACCCATAGCTTTCCCAATCAAAACTAGGATTAGCCAGTAGGTAAGTGGCACAAAAGGAAGATCTCTCTCAGAACAAAACTAACAATGGAATGGATAAATAGGATAACCAGCAGTTCACCAAAGACCAACTAATCAGCAGAAAAGGCATACATGTATAAGTAGTAATGGAACCAGAGAAACATTCTGCCAAATGAAGAAACAGGAAATTGGATAAGAGAACACCCACACTTACACTACCGACAGCTAAGGCATCATCAAACAAGACAACCTTTATTTCAAGTTACCAAATGTTAGGCAAATTAAAAGGCATAAATAAAGTTCAGTGAGTTTTTCCACCCAAGATAGAATAAAAATGGCCAGATTCAAAAGGAACCAACATTACTGTGGAGGGAAGAATGGATGTGAAGCTGCTGGACAAAAGTTAGGGACCTCCCTGTGTGGTAGATCTTTAGAATATTCTTGAAAAAAAAAAAAAATAGAACAGGATTATTTTTTAATTTGGAGGATCCTTCCTATGACACCCAGAGAAAAAAATGTATATACAACAATGAGGAGACAAATTAAAAATTGAAGATTAGAATAGGGAAGAAAAGAGTTAACTCAGACTGTAAAATGAGTTCTGGTTTCTAGGCAGTAACAACTTTAGAAACTTTCCCAACACTTCAAAGTCATCATAAAATATGGTGTGATGTGAGATGAAATGCGAAACTTTCCACTCCTTCCCTCTAGGAGTGATAACAAAGTCAAAGAAATAGATGGTACTTTTGCACAAAGTAATTTTCAAAAATGGGGGCTTAGTTTCTACCACAGGCAGAACATAGAAGATAGTAATGGAGACCCAAAAGTTACTAAACGCCTTTGTTTACTTCACTACCAGAATGATTATGTCATGGAACAATTATAACCTTTAATGGAAGCCAAAGAAGAAAACTTGCTCTGGAAGGAAGCAGAATATGGGTGCTTCACAATAAGCGTTAAAAAGATTACCAACGAAGTTATGCAGTTAATTGAAACTAGTCAGCATAGGGATCTAAGTAGAGAGGGTCAAGATTCCCCTTCTTTAAAAAGCCTCCTGCTTTAAACAGAACAGCCTTATTCTAAGCTGAAACGCTTTTTATTAGTCTGTTCACTAAGAGAAGAGATAGTAATTCTAAGCCATATTGAGACTTCCCCCACAAAATTCTAACAGATCAAGAATTTTAAGAATTCACGCAGCCTCTGAAACTACCTGGCATATATATTTTGTGGGCAATTATTTCTTTAACCAGGAAAGGGGGAAACACCAGAATGCAAAAATTTCCCTTTCTATACTGATACTTGGTTAGGTTAACATCTAACCAATGCCTGCACCAACTGTTCTCACCAGGAATATCCTTAAAGAAGTTAAATCCTTTGTAGTTATATTGGCCATTGGCTGGCTTGGAAATACATGCAAGGAAATTTAGCCTGTCTAGAAGAAATGAGATCTAAAATTAAATTATTAGCCAAATCTAAAAGAGAGTTAACTTTAAACCTTAATCCACAGGCAAATCTGTAAAACCAGCTGGGAAAACCCTCTACACAAGGAAAATTTCAAGTCTACTCTCAGCTGACAAACAACTGGTGCCAACATTAAATCCTACCAAAAGAAGCACTACTCTGAACCTCTGTACCTCAAGAAGAATCATGAACTAAGATGAGCATATTAAAACAAAGACGAAAATTCCCTGAAAACCTCTTGAAGAATTCAGTTGTTATGAATTAGATGTCAGTCACATAGTAACATACAACCTACAGGAAACACATCAGGAAAAAAAAGTTAGCCTTCCAACAGAACACCTTATTTCTCATTCCTCTATTCTGAGAAGGCAGCAGCTTAGACAACCTTTGAAAGGTGACAGAAGTGGGAATAACCACCCAATTGCTAGGTTTCTTCTGTTATTTTTTAAAGACTGGATGCAGTAATTTGATTTAAAACTGACTCTTGTAGACCTACAGTATTTAAAAAAACAAGTCCCCTACCTGGAGCTGATTTTAGCTATTGTCTAGAATTGGGTATCCATTTCTTAAAAGCACCACACGTTTATGATGCTAGTTAAGTCTCACTGACTTAGCCAACCTCTAAAGTGTTACGCATCCTACCTTTTTTTTCTCTCGATAAAGGCATCTTCCTGGAACTTTGTGCTATCTCTGCTTCACCTGCACCCCTCCCTCACATTAATCAGCTTTACCTTACTGCCCAGGACAAGAGGCCTGCCCCCCTTCATCCCCAAGGGGAAACAAAATACCTTAATGGGGGTGGTTTAACATCGACGTTTATTTTTGCCCTTTATCTACCTTGGGCCATTTAATCAAACTTTAAACTGCCCCCCCCCCTCACCCCCTTTAAGGGCTAATTAAGTCTTTTCTCTTTTGGACCTCAAGAACCTTTCAGCTGCCTAAAAGAACCCAGGGCTTGAACAGAAATATCCATTCATATCACTTTCACCTCAACTCTCTGCCTATTTGTAATTCAGGATGCAAAGTTACATACTGAATTTAATTATTAATTTGTAGGCAGAATATTTTTTATTTTTTTTTACAAAGCAGTAATGGGGCAAGGCAAATACTGGAAATTGTCTCCTATAAATGGCAATAATTTTCTTCTCCTTGCAAGATACAGAAATAAACACTACAAAAAAGGGCCAATTTCACATTGATGATAGGCCCTAACATCTCAGAAAATGGGATCCCTCTAGAAATGCAACTTAAGCCACTTTTTCCATGAGCAGTGGATCCAACAACTCTGAGTAAAGTTTTTTAAAGCTGTAATTCAATTTATTGGGGTAAGACTGGTTAATAGTTATATAGGTTTCGGGTGAGAGGAAAAGTTTTTGGGTTTTTCATTTCAGAAAGGAGAAGTGATAACCTTGGCTTCTCCAATAGGGTAGAAGACAGCTGTTGGTTGGCTATCATTGAGTATTACTTTGATGTGTACTTGTTCCATCCAACTGAAGGCAACATCATTACAATCATCTGACTCTTCTATTCAGCTACAACAAAACATACAGAAAGGAAAATGACAGAACTTTTATATTTATTCTCCCATAAGTGGTGGGAGTGGAAAACCAGAAGAAAGCTACTTTATAAACCTATACCTCTTACATCATTATAATAGCTAAGTGTTAATAGCAGAAAATGAGAAAAAGAAATAAAGCTGATTTTGGAATGAAGCACCTGCTACTATTGCCATTTTGAGTTAGATATCCTGTTCACTTTTATGTGTGACCCACCTTATTCTAAGGGAAGCCACGGTGTTTTTAGCAGTAACCCTTCTCATTCAGCTGGAATAAGCATTAAACAAAAGAATTAAGAATCATCCTGTGAATTTAGCACACATGCACCTTAAAGTTAGGACCTAAGTGGTCATAGCTTTCCACTATTGCCATCTGTAAGGAAATTTGTTTTCATAAATGCCAAAAGTATCCTGTTCAATGCTTTGCTTGGATTTTGAGGGCTTGGTTCTATAACCACTCTCATGACATTCTTTAGGGAAATTATGACCAACATCCTATTATATGGGAGTAGGGGGAAGTAGGTTTACAGTTGTTCCTATGGAAAAAAATACAAACTTTCCTGCATACTCAAAACTGTAAACCTACTTTTGCCCCACCCTGTATATTTGCTTAGTACTTAAGATAGGGGTCAGTGCATAGTAAAAAGTCCAGGGGGGTGGCAGAGACCACCAGTTCCAACTCTGGAGGTACTTATTCATGTCCCTAGGAGCAGCAGAAAGATGAAAAAGTCTAGAGGAAACATCATGAAGCCAACTTTTACCCATGCTGGAAAGCTCATTCCTGCCTGGTATTTGACTACAAAGGGTTATTTTTTTTAAAAAAGTCGCATTTCAATATAATTTGACTAAGAAGTTAAAATTAGAATTACCTAATTTAAACGTTCCCCCTGGAAGGCACTTCTTTACCCTGTATATATTTTCTTCTATTAAACAAATAATGCATGCATGTTTAGCAAAATATACAGGGACACATAAACAGACTAGTAATTACTTAGCGTAGTGCTTTCTGATTCCAGATTACTTCTTATCTTAACTTCATTTTTATTTCTTTTCTTCATTCTTCCGTTTCAAATTCTGACTTCTTTCATCTTCCCCACTTCACACAAATTGCTCAATATTCTACAAGTGGGACTTCTGGTCTGATAATTAGCATGCATTCTTTAATTTTTTCAAATTTCAGCTTCACTTATTCCTGAGCTTCAAATACTCATTTATAAAACTTGTCAAATGACGACTTCCGCATTTTCCTTCTTCAACATTAACCTTAATAGAAAAAGAACAGGATGAAGAATATTTTAAAACTCCAGGATAAAATCCAGTGCCAAAACTGAAACTAGAAAAAAAAAATCCCTTGTTTTTGGATTAAAAAAATAATTAAAAACACCTAGAATATGCAGCTCAAAAACCTGAAACTATAGTCTCCTGCTGGTTCTAATATATATGGTAATCAATCTCATTTGTCATGCTTAAGTTGAATGTGAAGTGCGCTACTGAACATTTACTGTTCATCTAACATTTTAAGAACTAAATTTCACACTTCTTATTTTATCCATCAATTGAAAATATGTTAAGTGTCAAAAGCACAACTCCAGTCAAAAAGTGACACGTAAATACAAAAGTGCAAGAAAGGAAAGCATGAACAATTCATTTGTACAATGATGACAGGGCTTGGGGTAGGAGAGAGTTACAAATTGTGACTTGTCTTATAAGGTCAAGAAATGTACTTAATGTCACACATTTTTGTACCATATGTCTAAAGAGCTCTATAGAAAGACAAGGTCAGGGAATCTGAAAATTTGGATTATATTTAATTGTTCAACCTATCCCTAAAAAACTGCTCTAGTAAGTTTTTATATTCTGAATGGTCCAATTACGAAATTTAAACTAAAACCAAGTCAACCAACTACTACATTCAAGTGAAGGAAAGCAGAACAAATTAGAGTGCAACATTGGTATTTTCAAATAATGTTGTAAACTTGCCCCCCTCAATGAACAAATATTAAAATCTTCTGCAGTCCAAAGGAGAAATTTTACTTTTTTAAAGGTGGCAATATGGAGAAAAGTATAGCTCACCTCTTGAAAATATTTGTCAATATACTAGTGTCTGTTCAATACCCTAAACAAAATATTGTCCTCATAAAACATCCTAGTTTTCCTGCATTTCATCCTACGTCTTCTGTTTCACAGTCAACAATTTCCTCTCCTAGTTTTATTTTCTTTCTGGGAAAAACAAAATTTTCTTAAAAAAAAAAAAAAAAAGTCTTTATACCTATCTGGGCATAAAGACTGCCATGGCTATTTGTGGAAGTGCTGTCTTTTCTAAGAAAGTAAGCCTAATTTCAATATAGTTTTAAAAAGTCAATTATTGTTTACTTAACCCAGGAAAAATTTTAAATAGGTTTTCATTTAAGGGAGTCACAGTAGTTAATTTTCTTTTAGTATCCATCACTAAAATGTAATGGGAACTGTTTGCTAGCAGCACAAATGTAATCGTGGAATCAGAATGCCCAAGCAGGTTTCCTCCTAGGGCTCCTAAAGTGTATGTACAGATACAGGACTTTGATGCAGAAGATACTGGCATGGAGGCCAAAGCTCTAGATATCACAACTTATCAATATGGACGCCTTCCTGCTGTTATTACTTCTTTCCAACCTTTCCTATCTTTTAATTGAACTATAAGATACACTACTAAATAATGTAAATAAGAGATTTATTTCAACTTAGGTACCAACTGGCCACTTTATAAAACCAAAAGACCAACTATTGAGCTAATTACTTGATGAGATCCTACTCAGAAATAAGCAGAAACTTGCCCCATCCTGTCAACAAATTTTCTGTTAAACGATTCTAGAGGTTACAAGTGGAATTCATGTAACATTAAAAACGTGCAAACTCATTAGGCTGATTGCAAGGTTAATATTTTAAAAACTGGGAGCAAATCAAACCTATTATGGTCAATTTTCATATCACTATAAAGACTGTTTAATTTTTTTGCAGACACTCTACCAGAAGATTGGGTAATAGGAAAATCCTCAAACTGAGAATATGCTCTGAAAAAACCCACTGACATGGTTTTATCTGACATGCCTCCATTAGTTTTCAGCCCATGCTTTTGAGATCTCTTGCAAAAACAGTATTCTAAAATTTACATGCATAAAACATTCAGTACTTTCCAGCAAAATCAAGTTTAAGTATGCCTTTTTACTTTCAGAAGACTACCTATTCTTCATCTAATACCTAAGCACAAAAATCAATGCAAAAGAGGGACCTCATCTCATGCTATCATATTAGACCATCTATGTTGATAAAAGTAACAATCTGAAAATAACTCCCCAAATCCAATTCAAAGCAAAGATTTTGGGGAACTTGAAGACTAATTTGCCGTAGTTAAGAACTTTTGTGGCTTGCAGCTTAAAAACAAAATGACAATACCTAATTCCATGTGGCCCACACCACCCAAAACTAACCTTGGTAAAACACTTAAATTTCTTAAATACTAATCACCACCCCATCACTATACATTGTGAGATAATACAATTTATGTATAAAAATATATCAACAAATGACACTGCTAAAGTGCAAAAGATACAGACAATTGTAGTTCGGTACTCTTGGGCAAAAAAGTCAACTATAAAAATACTCATCACTTAGGTTTGGGGTTTTATTAGCCATAAATGGGAATTGGATATAAAAGGGGAATTCCATGTAACATATCTCACCATCTAATTCCTCTCCATTTCCCCCCAACAAAACCAGTATTTACTTACCTTATCACTTGGAATTTCAGTTTCACAATGCCACTTTCTAGTTTCAGACACTATCCACATAATTAAAATATTCTTAGCTAACCTGGTTTCAAGAGACTCATACCTAATCAGTTATAACGAAACAAAGCAAACTATTTCCTCCCACTCCATAAATTCAACCCTTTATTAAAGGAAATTGGTGCAATAGCTACAATTTTCTAGAGAAGAACTAGATTGAGATGTTTCAATTATAAAAATTAGAATTTGGGGTTAAAAGCAAAGAATACACAAAGAATTCAGAATTAAACAGAAAACTGAAGAATCTGAAGGGCAGCTTGATGTGATGTTATGTATCCAGACACTATTCATGTCTAAAGAAAGTTAAGACTAGTACCTACATTGCAAATACGTCTACAAAAAAAGCCAATATTATATCAAATGTGACATAACTGTTAAGAGTGCCTCTTATGGCAAAGATGTCAGCCCCTTTTGCAGGGAAAAAAAAAGTTTGCAGGCAAGTTTTGGAAATTCTGGATATTTTAATTTGGAGACCATAAAAAAAGACAAAAAACAAAAACAAAAAACATCTTATTTTTGCATGGGTTTGGGCCAGGATCAGGGATCTCAAATCTATTTAGACACATTTCTTGAATTTAAATACACTTTGACACAAAAATCCCAGGTAAAGGTAAAAGGTAGATTTGGCCATAAAAGTGACATGAACCACAAATATTCAAGAACACACCCAACATACACATTTAAAATAAGACAAGGGGAGACACACTATATTAGTTCTAGGAGGATAATTTATTACTGCATTATACACACAACATTTCTATTTAGGAGATGAACTACTTCCCATGTCTAAAGGATTGGGGCAAAAAATTTCTGGAGTTACTTTGGGGATTGTGAGAGTGGATTAGAGATTTATATAAATGAGGGGTAAGATTACAGCGGAATTGAGATTTGTATAAGTGATTTATTTACATGATCAGTTTGGAATGTTTGAGAGCCTAGAGTGAAATGAAAAGTAATTTTTCAGGCTCCACAAAGAGGCTACAGGCAAGTCCAAGATTACTGCCCTGAAAGCAACTTTTTCACTGCTTTCAGGCAGGTTTTTTTGCTAATCAGACCTGACTAGCCCTTTTTATGGTATTTTATTTAACTGTTCCACTGACCTTTATGGCTTGCCAAGCATTCTTTAAGAGTCCAAACACATGTTTTAGGTCTATTCTAACAACTTCAGGTTCCAACCACCAGTTAGAAAGCAAACATACAAAACACCAAACCAAATAAAATGGAAGTATCCCAGAACTTCAAGTTTAGAAATGTCTTCCAGGAAAAGTCATAACTCCCGAGTAATAGTTTTTTCTTCTAATATGTAGCTCAAAGTTATTTTATATCTTTCTCTTTCCATAATAATTTAGTGAATACCCAGTCTATGTAATAGCATTATGGAAAACACTAGGATGTATACTCTACTAGAAGAAAATATGCCCGCTTCAAAAAAATTCTAGTAAGATGACACCTCTTCAGCTGTCTCAAACCTGAACTTAACCACAACTGTTTCCCTTATGTAAAACATACTTATTTTGTTTTAGGCAAATTTTCATCTCCACAAGCTCACGATCTTAGTAACTCTTCCAGGAATATTCGACTAAGCTAGTCAGTCGTTTTGTTGTCCCTAAACAGTGCAAAAGTACCCAGTAATTGTTTTGTTCAATCACTGAGGACTAAAAATTGTTATTTGCTTTCTAGTACAAATACCAGTGACTAGTTTCCAAAGTATATTCAACTAGTAGAAACTAGAAGTCACAGCTTTCACAACTTGTGAGCCCAATTCAAACTTTCTTACCCTAAGAAACATTCACCTGAATATATAAGGGAGACCTGATTAGTTCAAACCAAATCAAACAGGTTTGGCTCCAATGTTACACAATAAGTTCACTAATGTGCCAGGAGCTAAGATATTTTTAAACCGCCTCGAATCTGTTTTACACGCGTTTGCTAAGGTATTTGAGATTTACCGGACAATTAAACTTATTTTAAGGTGGCTCTACTAGAAAGGGGAAAAAATCTTAACAAGTAACAGACCTGTAAAAATACCTTCCTTATTTCTAGCAAGTTAAAAAAAAATCAAGTTCTGCAGTGCTTTTTATCATTCTTCTAACAAATTCTCCTTAATCTCCAAACATGCAAGACTCTGGCAAGCCTTGCATTGTTGCATCTTAAAGCCTACACCCCGCAACCAACCTTACTAACATGCTGTTTAAAATCTGGGAACTGTTTTACTACTGAAATCTAATCAACCCGCACCGAACTCCACTCCGGGGAAAGGTGGAGACTTAAAAAGGAAAAAAAGAACAGGTACAAGTGATCCACAGAATTAGAATGCCTTGAAACAAAAGAAGTAACGGCGCCATAAATCGTCGTTGCCCGCCAATTTGTCCTATACAATCCCATGGAAAAATATCTACTTCATAAAATAAGAAAACGTTATTCCTCGTGGTCTATTCTACTGGTATACTCTGGTGAGTTTTGGTTTGAAAGCCCTTTCGGTATCAAAGAAAAGCACTCCATTTAGGCCTAACACAAAGCCCGCGCGCCATCTCCTCAAATTAACGGGCCGAGAATTTAGTCTACCTCAGGTTAGTTCTCCCCACCCTAAAAGAAGCCCCCAAGAACACACTAGGTTCCATCCTGGGGGTGGGGGGGCCTTCGTAAGACGACCCTTTTTAATCCAAATACCGGTGTAAGACCCCAAAGAACGTGCTCTTCTTTTCCTAACCAAGTAGCCCTGTGAGGCGCTTTGTGCCCCAGGCAGCGCGCCCAGCCCGCCAGCCCAAGATGGCGGCGGCGAGGCCTCGCTGGAGAGCAACGGCGAAATAAGATACTGCTCCCCTCCCCCAACACTGAGGGGACGCAGCGGCCATTTTAATCCCCCTTATAACAGAAAAAACCGCCGACTCGGGTCCAAGGCCACCTAAACCTGCCTCTCTGGCCTTCCTCACGAATAAAAACTATTCACAAACGCTTTTTAAATCCGACTCCTCTCCTCCCGGCCTGACTTCGGAGCCGAAGTCGCCCAACTCCCTGTCCGAGGCCCACAGGCCTGAAAAGAGATGCAAGAAGCTGGGACCACACATTCGCCCCCTGCAGCACCTCTACGTACCCGCTCGCCGTAATTCTGCTCGCCGCTGTCGCTCATGACTCCTAGCTGCTGCTGCTGCTGCTGTTGCTGCCGCCGCCGCCGCTCGGCTCGATGTGCTTCAACCGAAGCTGCCAACCTCTTGCACCTTCTTCACAGAGGCTCGGCCGCAGCCTGTCACCACCACAAGTTTCCACGCCGCTGAGAACCCGACCGCTCCGCACCGCTGCCACACGAGCTCTAAGTCTCGCGGATGTGACGCAGCGTCTATAATCCGGCTCCGCCCCCTCTCAAAACGCGCGCTTTGTTGGCCCCGCCCCTCGGCCCTGGAGTCCCTTCCCCGCCAAGGCGCGACTCGAACCGGATGTGACGTAACGCCGCCTTTCGTGGGGCCCCACCCACTTCTCTGTCTGAGCGAGGCGGGAAAGTGAGCCCGCCCGTTGGCCTCCGTGGTGCTGGCCGCAGCAGTGATGCCGCCCGGTAACGCCTGACTCCTTTCTGGAACTTTACAGGGAAACCGTCGTCGGCAGAGGAAGGAGAGGCGGAGATAGCCACCGTTTCTCCTATCTTTCATTTCTTTTTTCTGCTTTATACGTTTCTATTTTTGTGCCTTCTTTTGGGCAGATATCCATGCACTGGGTTCTTTATTTTGCATTTACTTAGCCTTCATTGTAGGTCTTTCTTTGTTAAATAAACGTTTATTTAAGCACGTATTAAATGCCAAAGCGCTTTACTAGATCTTGATGTACTGACGTCAATCTCCGAAGAAGTTAGTCAACTACGATTTTAAGTGCTAGAGGCATGTACAACTATAGCAATGTCACAAGCAGGGAAGATTGAGTATTCCGTCATGCAACTTTCCATGGTTTCAGTTACCTGGGTCCACTGTGGTCTGAAAATGTTAAATGGAAAATTCCAGAAATGAACAACTTAAATTTTTAATTGTGCGCCGTTCTGAGTGGCATGATTAAATCTCATACCATCTTCCTCTGTCCAGCCTGGGATGTGAACCATATCGTTACCCAGCCACTCCAGGCTGTATACCCTCCCAGCATTGCAGTGCTTGTGTTCAAGTAACCTTTATTTTACTTAACAGTCGCCCCAAAATGCAAGAGTAGTGATGCTGCCATAAAAGCCCTAAAAGTGCTTCCTTTAAGTCAGCAGTTCTCAACCTGTGGGTCGCGACCCCTTTGGCGGTCGATCGACCCTTTCACAGGGGTCGCCTAAGACCATCCTGCGTATCAGATATTTACATTACGTTTCATAACAGTAGCAACATTATAGTTACGAAGTAGCAACAAAAATAATTTTATGGTTGGGTCACCACATGAGGAACTGTATTTAAAGGGACGCCCCTCACTGGGGACGTGCCCGCAACCCAGGTACATGCCCTTGACCGGAATCGAACCTGGGACCCTTCAGTCCGCAGGCCGACACTCTATCCACTGAGCCAAACCGGTTTCGGCGAGAACCACTGCTTTAAGTGAAAAGATGAGTACAGTACAATAAAATATTTTGAGAGAGACCACTTTTACATACCTTTTATTACAGTACTAGAGGCCTGATGCATGAAATTCATGCAAGGGTAGGCCTTTTCAGCCCCCGCTGCTGGGGCTCTCACAGCCCTGGCTGCCTCCCGGCCCCGGCCTTGGCCTGGCACTGCCCACATCTGCCGCCACACATCTCTGGTCCCCTGGTTCTGCGGAGCCCCCAATCAATCGCCCTGCAGAGGGTGGCCTGGGCCTCCGTCTGTGGGGCAATCATGGAGCCCCCCCCCCATCGATTGCCCCCCTCTTCGGCCAGTGGCCTGGGCCTCCCTCTGCAGGGTGATCATGGGGCGATGGTGGCCCCCACCCCCACCCCACCACCAATTGCATTGCACCCACCTTGGCTGGCTGGCACCAGTGCGTGTCATAGCGTGGTCGCCTGGAAGGTCGTCCAGATGGTTGTTCTGCTGTTTGGTCATTTGGTTGATTTGCATATTATGCTTTTATTATTATAGATATTGTTTCAATTGTTCTCTAGTATTAGTTATTGTTGTTAATCTCTTTGCCTAATTTATAAATGAAACTTTACCATAGTTATGTATGTACTAGAGGCCCAGTGCACAAAATATGTGTATGGGGTGGGGGGGTGTCCCTCAGCCTGGCCTGCACCCTCTCCAATCTGGGACCCCTCAGGGTATGTCTGACTGCCTGTTTAGGCCTCTGCCTGCCTGCCTGATCGCCCCTAACTGCCTCTGCCTGCCGGCCTGATTGACCCTAACTTGCTCCCCTGCGCCACTGCAGGCCTGAGCCTGGGCCCTTTGCAGCCACGCCTCAGCCCTTCGCAGCCACCTGCGGCTGCCTAAGCCTTGACAGCCTCATGCGCGCAGCCCCGCTCACCCTAACTATCTCTGCCTCTGCCTGCTGGTCTGATCACCCCTAACCACCTCTGCCTCGGCCCCTTTCCTAAGCAGCAGTCTGGCCTCCCTCTACAGGAGGCAACCTGGTGGATCAGGGGAAGGCGCCACCCCCATTACCCCGCTGCTGCTGCCACTGCCGGCCTGAGCCTGGGCCCTTTGCAGCCACCTGCGGCTGCCTGAGCCTGGGACCTACATAGCTGGCCTGGAGCCAACATACCCTTCTTGCCACCGTGCCTTGGAGCCCAGGGCCCACAGACCCTTCCCGCTGCCGGGCTGTGGAGGCCCGAGGCCCTCAGATCCCTCCTGCCACCATGCCCCAGCGGCCTGGGGCCCACAGTTTGGTCGTCTGTCTGGTCGTTATGGACCCTGGCTCTTTATATATTAGGATGGGAAAAGAAGTATATATAGGGTGTCGTATTAACTGGTTTCAGGCATCCACTACAGATCTTGGGACACATCCCCTATGGATGGGGAGGAGGGGACTACTACAGTGGAAAGAGCCAGACTTGGAAGTTGAGTCCTCTTTGTACCTGTTGTTTCCTCATCTTTTAAAGTAAATTATGGTACCAGATTGGTGAGGTACTTTGATACTGGTAAAAAAAAAATTTTTTTAAATAGCTATGTTGAGATGTGATTCATATACTATGCAAAACTCCCATTTAAAGTATACAATTCAAAATGGCTTTTAATATATAGACAGAATTGTACAATCATTACCAACATCAATTTTAGAACAGTTTCATTGCTCCCAAAAGGACACCTGTATTCATTAATAGTCATTGCCAATCTCTCTCCTCACCTTCTGAACTCTAAGGAATCTCATATCTACTTTGTCTCTATAGTTTTGCCTATTCTGGACATTTCATATAAATGGAATCATATTACATGAAGTTCTTTGTGACTGGTTCTCAAACTTAACATTTTTAAGGCTCATTCATGTTGTAGTATCTATCAGTATTTTATTCCTTTTCTTTTAAAAATGTTTATTATTTTAAATTTATTTTTACTGTTGAAAGTATTGCAGATGTCCTCTTTTCCCTCCCCAGGGCCCCCCCGCCCCCATCCTGCTCTGGCCCCTCCCCAGGCTTTTACCGCACTACTATCTGTGTCTATGGGTTATGTGTATATGCATATAAAACTTTTGGTTAATCTCCCCCCATCCCCACTCCTTCTCTCTGAGATCTGTCAGTGTTTTGCATGCTTCCATGTCTCTGGATCTATTTTGTTTGTCAGTTTATTTTGTGCATTAAATTACACATATAAGTGAGATCATGTGATACTTGGCTTTCTCTGACTGGCTTATTTCCCTTAGCATAATACCCTCCAGGTCCCTCCATGCTGTCTCAAACAGTTTACATTCAATATTATTTTGTATTACTTTGAGTCATACAGCATAGTTATTAGACAATCATAAATTTATAAAGTGTTCCCCTGATATTTTCCAGTACTCACCTGGCACCATACATAGTTATTACAACATTATTGACTCCGTTCCTTATGTTGTATTATACATCATGACTATTTTGTAAGTACCAATTTTTATTTTTTTGAATTATTTCAAGTATTACATATGTCTCCTTTTTCCCTCGATTGACTGCCCCCAGCCACTCCCACCCCTGAGGGCATGCGCCCACCACGTCAGTGTCTGTGTCCATTGGTTATGCTAATATGCATGTATACATATTCTTTGGTTGATCTCTAATCTCCCCCACTCCCCTGCCATTTGTCTCTGGATCTATTTTTGTTCATCAGTGATGTTGATCATTATATCCCACATATGAGTGAGATCATGTGATATTTATCTTTCTCTGACTGGCTTATTTCGCTTAGCATAATGTGCTCCAGTTCCATCCATGCTGTTGCAAATGGTAAAAGTTCCTTCTTTTTTATAGCGGTGTATTATTTCATGGTGTAGATGTACCACTGTTTTCTAATCCACTCATCTGCTGATGGGTATTTAGGCTGTTTCCAAATCTTAGCTATTGTAAATTGTGCTGCTATGAAGATAGGGGTGCATATATCCTTTCTGATTGATGATTCTTGGGATATAGTCCTAGAAGTGGGATTACTGAGTCAAATGGGAATTCCATTTGTTAAAAAATACATTTTATTTATTTTTTACAGACAAGAAGGGAGAGGGATAGAGAGTTAGAAACATCCATGAGAGAGCAACATGGATCAACTTCCTCCTGCACACTCCCTACTTGGGATGTGCCCGAAACCAAGGTACACGCCCTTGACTGGAATTGAACCTGGGACCCTTTGGTCAGCAGGCCGACGTTCTATGCACTGAGCCAAACCAGTTAGGGCAGGGGAGTTCCATTTTTAACTTTTTGAGGAAAATCCATACTGTCTTCCACAGTGGCTGCACCAGTCTGCATTCCAACTAGCAGTGCACAAGGGTTCCTTTTTCTCCACATCCTCTCCGTCTGGACCAGGGCTTTTGTTTGCTGGAAGATTTTTGATCACTGCTTCAATTTCTTCAGCAGTTATCAGCCTATTCAGGTTTTTTTATTCTTCCTGGTTGAGTTTTGGGAGCTTGTATTTTTCTAAGAACATGTCCATTTCATCTAGACTGTCCAGATTATTAGAATAAAGTTGGTCAAAGTATTTTTTTCATAATCTTTTATATTTCTGTGGGATGGGTTGTTACTTCACCTCTTTCATTTCTGATTTTGTTTATTTGGGTCCTCTCTCTTTGCTTCTTGGTGAGCCTGGCTAGAGGTTCATCAATCTTGTTTATCCTTTCAAAGAACCAGCTCTTGGTTTTGTTGATCTTTTGTACTGTTTTTTTTTTTTTTGTCTCTATGTTGTTTATTTCTGCTCTGATCTTTATCATTTCCTTCCTTCTGCTTACACTGGGCTTTTCT